ACTGCTCAGTTTCCTTTGGTTCTGCTTCGTTTCCAGCGCTGGAACCCAGGCTGGACCTCCATACCTCAGTATCGAAGACGAAACACTGGCCAGAAGACGCCTCTTGCTACTGCAGAGACCAGCCTTGTATGGCATGATTCTAGCTATCGCGTTGACTGACCAATAACACTTCCGTTTTGTGGTGGGCTATCTGCAGCTTCGCTCCTTGCATCCAGTTACCAATCATGTCGATCGCTTCGGTTGACTTAAATTCCACCTCTTCCAGTGTCTCGCCTGTTAACGTCAAGACGACGTCGTCCGCAAAGCCAACGATCTCAACTCCTTTGGGCAGCTTCAGCGTTAGCACGCCGTTGTACATTCCGTTTCAGAGCGTTGGACCAAGGATGGAACCTTGTGAAACTCCCGCTGTGATCCTAATCGATCTCTAGCCGATGTCTGTCTCGTAGACCAAAACCCGGTTCTGGAAATAACTCCTCAGGATCCTGCACAGGTAGTCAGGGACCCTCATTCTATGCAGCGCTTTGGCGATTGTCTCCCAGCTGGCACTGTTGAACGCATTCTTGACGTCGATCGTTAGCACGGCGCAATATCGAGCTCCTCTCCGCGTCTGTTTGGACGCCTTCTCGGCTCTCTCGACCACTGTCCAAATAATATAAGGTCTGGACCAACAGGCAGCTTGCTGGCGTTAAAAGCACAAATGTTGTAAACATTGTTGAACATCTGCGAACAGATAGAAATACGTCACTGCCAACATACAGAGAACAGATAGAAATACGTCACTGCCAACAGTTGTTTCGTGTTAAAAGATAAACATTGCACTGAAATACGAACACCACTAAACATTTGCACATTTCACTAATACAAACCCTTTACGACATGGACTAAACTAAGGACACGGGATATAACTACAATAGATCAAATTACTGGTCGCAGTGGTGTCAACCGGTGGAAACTAACGATTTTAAATTGACTCACTACTTGACTAGCCTATTGGTCCCAAGTACATCGATTAACGTACCCCATTCTAGCCGAAATTGTAGTACTACACAATGTCCCTCCCCTTGGCTAGTTTTTAACCTGGACGTTGGTGGGCGGACCTAATCTTATGCTTCATAGTGGAGCGTTGGAGACGGTTGGTTTAGGTCCGGCATCGTTAGGGTTACCATATTAAAAACTTGAAAAGGAGGACATTTCATTTGAGGTATGGTGATTAAGGAGGACAATGATTCCCTTTCTTAACATTAAAGGAAGACAATGAGTTTTTATCAAACGTTTTAATAACATGTGCGCTATCACAAAGTTCATGATTTGCAAAGGTTCAATTGAGATTGTTCATAACTTGTTGTTGTTACCAATTAAATTCATCTTCTCGTTATACTTCTGAAAAATGCATCAAACTAGCCTTCATAATTCATTTTTGATACTTGGAAATGATCTAGTCTAGCTGATTTGTATGAAAACTACAGCTTTACAGCCTTAAAACCATCCCAACTTTTATCATGTTCAAAAATACATGTCATCGCTGATTGAAACCAACATGGAACATCTAAGCAACCTGTTAATTTTACCATTGATTCATCATAAGACTCTAGTGTCGTTTTCGTTTTTGCTACACTACACCGGTGTAGTGTTAGCAGCAATAAGCGAGACTCATTGACAGCTCATCATCATTTGTTTGTAAACAAAGGTGCAACCGATAGCTACACCCTGAATTTTTCGGTGTTCGGCGATGTAGCATCGGTGTACAGAAAACGACATGACCCATGGAACAATTTGGGCTTTATGAGGGTTCGGAAGACCATTATTTAGACTTGTAGAATGCTATAAAACCGCGATAAAACTTGCAATGCTACTTGGGAAGGCCGCTGCCATAGTGGGAGCGAAGAGGGCGCTCATAGCGTTCTATACAAAATAATTCCTTTTATTGATATTCCTTACATTCGACTTCACGATTCGCGTGCCTCTTCGCTCTCAGTATGGTAGCGGTCTAAAAAAAAATACCTAAAATCCCATAGAACCAGAACGTCAACGTTGAACACATGTTGGATTCAATCTGTGTGGCTGTGTTGCATTTGGTGAATTATAACTTAAATTTTACAGATAGAAAATTTTCAAATAAACCTGCTATTGTACCAGACTTATTTCTTTCAGACCAGGAATCAATTTTGACAAACACCTCGAAAATCACACGATTAACAACAGAGAGATTTTCCAACATTTTAATTTATTTTCGAAATGTAAAATTTATGTAAAAAATCAGAAAAATGGAACACAACCTAAGACTGTGTTCCATTTGATGAATTTTCACTGACACTTCGAAAATAAATTACAAAGTTCGAAAATCCCTATGTTGTTCATCTTCCGATTGTCGAGACATTGTTTGTCAAAATTGATTCCTGGTTTGTCTGAAATAAGTTTGAAAATTTTCCATCTGTCAAATATAAGTTAAAATTCTCCAAATGGATCGCAGCCTAAATGTAGGGGGTTGACAACTGTAGTATACTCCTAGTCCCACCATTGAACGGCATTGGCTAGATAAGATGAGGTTGCGACATAATTAAACAAATAAGGTCTGCCAACAACGCTCTTTGAAAACAATATTATGAATATGTTACTGGAAAAAAAAAAATGCCAGGATTAAAAGGAGGACATTTTCGAGAGCAAAAGGAGGATGAAGAAAAAATATTGAAAAAGGAGGACATGTCCTCCTTTAGGATACTATATGGTAACCCTAGGCATCGTTGGCTCATGCCGTGATAGACTAGCGTCATGAGCATTCGATAAGGATTACTGAGCTTCCACTCTCTGATGAACCATTGCATGAGAGAACCAAAGTTCTAGCCTGAAGTGATAGTATCACACTTGTTACTCCTTTATTTGAAAGCCGCGTTGTATTACGCTTACGTATAGGCACTGACGTTGGGTGCGATACTGGCGGGTTTTTTCCGCAAATCACTCTTATTTTATTTATTTTTACGCAGATAGATTTATTTGGGTTTGCAAGGAAATTATACTATTGAAATATTTCAGAAAGTGCCCAACAGTGCTCCTTCTATTTGCGTGACAAGCTTTCATTGTTGTTTTCATTGAGGTATTACTCAGGGAACGATGTTAAACACCACCATGGTATTATAACTAATCTTATATGTGCTTCATTTTGATTTGGGATAAGTGTTTGAACTATGGCTTGGGATTTCCACTGTGGCGTGCTTCTATTGTGACATATCCATACGTAATTTTGTGGGACAACATAGTGGAAACGTGTGAGTGTAGTTGGAGCATATACCTTATATAATTTAAAATCAGCTAGGAAACTAATTTCAAAGTGAAGCATTTTAGTTACTTGAAGGTGTCACCTGGGTCGATCTAAGATATAATAAATATAGATCAAAGTCAAAATTACTTGACACACGTTAAATTTTAGATTACATAGCAGTTTAGGTACTTAATAAACCATGAGTTATGATTGATTAGGTAAATTAGAGATTTCAATTATTTATTGAATTAGACTAATGAGATATCATAATCATCAATCGAACTTAAATAAGAAAATTCAGACAGCCTAATAACATTAAGTAGATTAACAGAGTTAGGAGAGAGTTAGGATGCGGGGGGGTCCGCTTAGGGAGGCAACTAGCCTTTTCATATATTGTCTGTTTATGTTGATGGTTGCTTTAAAATATCAATTTGGTATATATGTGAAAGGGTGAATCAGTGGGAGATGGATTTTCAGTTTCTTTACATTTTGCAACACAAATCTAGTACTATGTGTCATTTCTTCAAAACCCCCCTATAAACGACCTCTTCAATCCCTTCCTTTTCCCATGGGCGTTCAAGTGGTCCGCATAGACTATTCAGCCATTACCCTTCCTTTATCCTCGGCTTTGGATTGACTTGCGCTCCCATTGCCCCACCAAACGCTGCAAAATGAAAATGAAAATGAAAATTAGCAATTGGTTAAGCGGATAATCCGGAATAATTTTCTTGCGAAGCTAGGTCTCAACATGCTCAAAGAAAAAAGAAAATTATAATGGGATTAAAGACAAGTGTTTCATATGCAAAAGATGTAGGAGAGCTGAGTGAATTTCTGCCCCTAGCGTGGAATTCGGAAACAGTTACAAAGGAACTTCTAAGGGTGAGAAAATGTCGATGTCAAAGACCTCTTCTCGTATCATGGAGTAAATCGAGTTAGAGGTCCATGTGCTATTTAATGACAAAATGTCCAGAAAACACTAGTTCATATCTGAGGAAAGCTGATGAGTCTTGCCAAAAATGGATAGGTACTGTACCTGTATTTTTTGGTTCGACACCCTGGAATTTCAAAATTGAGATAGAGTGCGAGTGGCCACCCTGCAATATTCAATAAATGTCATGAATGGAAGGTAGACTTATGTCATATTTTGCATAAGTCAAACAGTAGCCCATTGTCTGGATCCGATATGGGATATTTCCAATGAAATCTAAACAAATTACGCCGAAATGGCACATAAAACCTAGAGAGTCCCACACTTGTGGCGCCTGTCGCCGTTGCTGTGCGCAATATGCTACCAATCCGCTAATAAGAACCAAACCACAAAATAGCGCACTCGACCGACTTCTCTAGCAAGCAGCACCAGCAGCAATATGGCATTCATTGTGTATAGATTTACCTCCCACTACCAGCATCGGAGTCATAGTGGCGTTAAAGCATGGTGTTGGCAAATCATCGGCACTACCCGCAACTAAAACAACCCACATGTTGGCGCACTCAAAGTGGAGTCATTGGCGGCCTAGAGCGCATTTATTGGCGTAGTTTCGTTCAACTGAAATTTAAACAACATTGAGAACCCATATAATATAATAAAATATGATGTAACGCAGCTCGACTTCCCTGTTGTCTCTTCTTTTGACTATGTACTGAACTGAGACCCCCATCATCGTGGTGGTACCATTGACTCCAACCAATGAGTTTCACACTTATACTAATCGTATCTTTACGTTTTCTTCTTGTTTATTTTTAGAATCGACCAAAACCGAGAGGCAACTTCTGCAGCGCCAAATCGACCAAAACTAGTGCTGTTGTGGCACATGGCACTTTTGGATCTAGTTTAGTTTGCTGCTTGAAAATACACACACAGAAATTGCGCCGACCCGAAAAACGCCGAAATCCTCCAGAGGAAGATGCGCGCGACATGCGACAGCACCTCGCCGTTGTCGTCATGAATAAAGCGTGAGACTTAAGTAACATTTGCAACCATTCGTCGAGAGTCAGTAGTGTACTACAAGTGTGTGAACGTTCATAATTTGCTGGTGCACAAGTCAGGGGAAAAAAGTAAATTACGACAAAACGGTGTTTGGTTTGGGGGGAAAAGGGGGCAAAAGGCGGACGCACGGACGGACGGAACATGATGGAGCTGCTACTGGTGCGTTTTTTGCGAGCAACGGCGGCAACGGTCCACTGCGGATAGGAAGAAAATTATGACTAAGCGGGCAAGCGCGAGTGCGCATTTTTATTAAATGGATCGAGTTTGGAGAATCAATTAAGAAATACTAATAAATACTGGAGCATAATGGCTTCTTCGTCGTCGTCGGTGAATGAGAAAATAGCCAACGGTAAAATGAACGCGGATGACATCTACGAAAACCTACCGTGTCGGGAGCAACAGCAGCAGATGCGGAACGGTGACACTGATGAGGAAGGAGGAGGCAGTGCCAGTGGTGGAGGCGGGGTGGATGACGAATGCGCCTCCGGGGGATTTTCGACTGACCAACCGGTAGTACAGCAGCCGGAAAATAACAACAAGATACAGAACAATTTGGCCATGGACAGCAAAGACAGTCTGTACGCGACTCCGTTGAAGAAATCGGATCGCCCGAAACCGCAAGGGGCGACCCCCAAAGCACCCACCGGCGGGGGTGATCGACGATCGACGCGTGCCCTCGACGATAATCTAAACAACAGCTCGGATCGGGACGTGAAGATTATCAACGCCGAGTTGGAGGACCGCAGAATACGAGACTTCCTCAAGGATACGTCCCAAATGCACAAAAAGATCGAACTGCACAAAGAGTACCAGAGCTCGAACTTCTCCTACCTTGCTCGGAAGGAACATTTTGTCAATCTGGTACAGCAAAATGTGCTGAGTGAATCGTTGAATGGGACTACCGGCGAAGATGCCCACGAGGAGGATATTGACCACTCGTTGCTAGGGTACAAAAGCTTGGCGAATGAGGAGGAGGATAAGAACTTGGACGTGGACATCAACGAATCACTGGACGAGCTAGAAGCAAGGTGTAACGAAAAGCTAGAGATGTTAACGAATCTTCACCGGCATCGGTCCGCAGAGAGAAGCCAGGAAGACAACGAACAACTAGACGTAGATCTTCCACCGGTTTTGTTGAATCCTCCTCTGAGTCAGAAACCTCCGGCGGGCAACAACCAGCTGGTCAATGGCGGTGGATCCACTCAAGCAAACGTCAACCGAAATGCAAGAGTGTACGATCCGAACCTTAGTTCGGAAATCAACGCCTATCTGAACCGAGAATGGGTCCTCAAGAAGATAGCCATGTGCTTGGAGCAACGAGCTTCGAAGAAGCCGGTACCGATACCACCGGGAGCAGAACCAGGAGAATGTGTGCCACCGTCGACGTCTGGATTCTTCCCGCGGGCATCCTCTACCCATCAACAATCGAACCGCGGGTCGGATCTACCTTCCCTGGGATATTTAGTCCTAGGATCCAACGGTTCCGGCAAGACCTCGATCTGTAACGACATCATCGAGGGCACTTCCGGCACCAAAGGGATGCTCAACCGAAGATTGCTGGCTTGTTACTTCGTAAATTCCCAAAACCCCGAGTGTCACAGCCTGAGTATGTTCATCCGCAGTATCATCCTGCAAATCTTGAGCCACTCAAGCTTTATCTGTCTAGCTGGTGCAAACGCCAGCACAAACGTGACAGCAACTTCGAATGATCTCACGAGTGGTGAAGTTGAACCCCAGGCCAAGATTAGCAGCAACGAAGCCTTGCCGGAGGCGGATCAAAAACCTCCGGAAGGTGCAGCCAAAGCTGAGACAAAGGATGTCGTCGCTGAGTTCGATAAAGAGCTGGAGGACATCATCCTCACGGAGATCAAAATCAACGAACGGGTAGCGGAGTTCTGTTCGAAAAAGAAGATCTGCCGACAGCAGTCGGAACCGGTGGAGAGCTTGAGCCGGGACAAAGAGTCAACCAACTATCCGTACACTACCCATCCCCCGCTGCAGAAGAGTCTACCTACCGAGGAAGAAATGAAGAAGGACAAGTCGATGAGTCCTGGTCGATCGAAGATTTCTAAGATCCCGGTCGCCATCGGTAGTAGTATCCGATCACCGACCAAAACCACCGTCCCGAAAGAGACACAAAAATCCGAAGCGGATGAGGACGAGATCATGGACGGAGGAGGTGAGGGAATCGCCGACTTGTCCGACATCAAACTGGACGAGGAAATCAACGAAGATGTCACCGCGGAAATCAAAGAGCAAGAAGACGCTGAACCGGCGAAGCCGGAAGAACCACCAAGGCCTTCAGCCCCGGAGGAAACCATCACCGCGGACGGTGCCAATAACATTCCGCCTCCATTACCTAAGTCCAAAAACTGCCGGCAAGTCATCGCCGACGGGTACTACGAAATGCTGCTCAGCAATCCGGACATCTTCGAGTCCATCACGGTCGACAGCATCGAGAAGAATCCGGACGACTGTTTCAAGAAAGCAATCCTTTTCCCCCTGTTGGAACTATGTCCTCCCAAAAATGCGCTACTGCTGCTGATCGATTCCATCGATGAGAACTACATCCAGGACGGGAACCTCATTTCCACGCTCAAAGGTAAACAGGTCACCAAGAGTCGGAACATTGCCGAACTCCTGTCGAACCACATCCACCTGATGCCCAAGTGGCTGTTCATGGTTTGTACGGCCAAGAAGCAGAACAAAAACATTACCAAACTGTTCACTGGCTTCAAACGGCTCACTCTGGACGACCTGCGCAAGAGTCACGTCGTCAAGGACGTCCAGCAGTACATCATCAATAGACTGAATACGGATTTCCGTGGCATCAATCTGACCAAAGATATTATCGAAAGCCTGAATCAGCTCTACATCAAATCCAACGGTTGTCTCCTCTACCTGTACAAAGTCCTCACCGGGATCAAGGAGAACTTCTTCACCTTCCGGGAGATCAAACTCATCCCGTGCACCCTGAATGGGCTGTACCTGTACATCTGCCAAAAGTCCTTCAACAAAAAGCAGTACAACAAAATCCGACCGATCCTGAACATCCTCCTCGTGTGCAACAACTACGTCGACAAGTATTTCCTCTTCAACTGTCTCCGAACCCACAACTACGCCCTCGAAATGGAAGAATTCGAAAAACGCCTAGATCTCATGCGAAACATCGTCGAGTATAGTCCTCGCAATCCTTACGCGTTGAAAATCTTCCACAATTCCTTCTGCGACTGGCTCATCGACGTCAAGTTCTCCACCAAAAAATTCCTCTGCGACCTGAACGAAGGCCACGTCATGGTCTCCATGTACTACACCATGGTTGCCGATCAGCTCTGTCCGAACAAACTTCGCCTCTACCTGTACCATCTGATCAAAACCGGCGAATACCTAACCAACAAAAACATCAACCTCGATCTCCTGCTGATCCTGCTGGAAACGAAATCCAACCTGAGCGACTGCTTCTACACCAACCTGCTGAACTGCTGTGCCCTCTGTGAGGACGAATGCAAGAACGACGTCAATCTGGCCTCGAAAACCCGCCTCATGCTCGAACGCTACCTGAACGCTGAACTGAACGAAGAGTTCATCGGTTTCCTGAACGATTTCTTCAAACCGAACTTACCGACGGATTGCAAAGTGCTCAAGCTGCTCATCGAAACCGGAATCAACAACGCCGATACGGTCCTGTCGTGCGAATCGTCTGCCATGAACTCCCCGGTACTGTCGGATCGCTCGCAGAACATCGATTCCGAGCTGGCCGAGCTGTTGATCTCGAGCGAGAAGAGTTGCCAGCAGGAGCTGCAGAAGTCGATCAACCTGAACTTGCAGCAACAACAGCAGTATTCGGGTGCGGAAATGGGTGGTTTGGCAGCCGGCGGGGGTCCCCTCGGAATCATTGGCATCGGGGTGGACCGTTACGATGGGGTTGCGGTTGGCGTCGGCGGTCACCATGAAGTGGCGATGGAACGGTGCGAGAGTGGCGTCGGTGGCGGCGAGGGAAGTGGGATTGGGGACTCCAAGTCGGACATCCAGAACGACCGGGTGCAGTACGATATGTTCGACGCGGAGCTGCACAAGGGCAAGGCGTTGATTCACATACTGGCGAACGAGGGGAACCACACGCTGCTGGAGCGGGCGCTGAATGTGAGTATTTTTATTTGGTTATTTGGCGTTAGGGTCTCGGGTCTTCTATGTAGCAGTGAATCTCTAGAAGAATTCAAGCTTTTAGAAGAAGTTTATAGGCATGCTAAGGATTTCGACCGAGTCGAAGATCAGACGGCTTCCAGGACAAGATCGCAAGGTTTCTAGGTTTCAATCGGTTGATCGCTAAGAATGTCCATTGGATCTAAAAAATCAATCCAAATGCTCTGGAGAACTTCACTTCAAAGGTATTGCTGAGTTAGTTCTGATGGTTTAAATAGTTAGTCTTTAAAGATAATTCCATATGGAGCAATCCAGAGTAATCAGACTCTGAATCAAGTTGAGTAATTTAAAGTTTGGGATTCTTCACAAGCTGTTCCTGAAGAATCGAAGCAAGGTTTTCAATCATTGGAAAATTGAAACACTTTTAAGGGCTTATCCAGAGGACTTCAGGGTTAGAAGTTCAGAATTTTACGTTTCAAGAGTCCACAGACTTTCTAGGGTATTCTAGAAGAAACCTGGGGAACGATTGAAGGTCTTCAAGAACAAGTTCAGTTGTTGTCTTTTTCGACCTTTTTTCCATTTAAACTTTCCGTCCATTTGGCCTTTTCCCGCTTTAAGTTTCAGTCGAGCTTTAGTCCTTCTAACTTTTTTCGTTTGACCTTTGCCTTTTGTCATAAATTCCGAGTTTAAGTGAAAGTTCATAGGAAATCTTGGGTACGTTTAGGAAACCTAGGGCAGGTTCATAGGTCTTCAAACATTTTTCCAAAGGCATTCAAGGGTCGGTTCTGAGGCCTTTAAAGTACAATCCAGTGCACTTCAAAGCCAAGGTAAGGAATCCATAGAACTTTAATGGCTAATCCAGAGGCTCTAGAGAACTTAACTGGACAAGTATTTCAGTGTTAGCCCTGAAGCTTTCAAGGGTCTTCAAAGGCAATTTTAGTTGGATGAAACCAGAGTAATCATAGTCAGAGTCAATTTGAGAAATTGCAACTCTGGTATTCTTTGCAAGCCAGCCCAGAGAACTACTAGGATAAACTAGTGCTGAAGATTAGAAGCATAAAGCAATACAAAATTGCAAAATTTAATCTCTGAAATACTCCAGGGCCTATCAAGAGGAATTATAGGTCAAGATTAGAATTGTACATTCACTAATGTAGACAAACGTGAAGGCCTTAGAATTTCTACAATCAGTTCGAATACCTTCAAGAGACACTTTGTAGAAGTTCTTGGACCAGTCCAGACACTTTCTAAGATATCTAGACAAAATTTAGATCACGTTTAAAGGTCTACTAGAACAAGTTCAGAAGTCTTCAAAAAGTTGCCCAAAGGCGCATATTGAAGACTTAAAAGGCCCTCGATAGACAGTCCATAGGACCTTCTAAGCACAAGTCCATAATATTTAAGGAGTAAGAGTTTCTCGGAAAAAAATGCACCATGAACACTTTGCCGTTCCTGTTTGACTGTTTCGAGAATCTGTCGAGCATGCTACATGATCATTCATCGACTAAGTTTTGAACAAGTAATTGAAAATCTCTAGAGGATCATGTTGCCACTCTTTCGATTATGACCTTTGCCTTTGATCATGCCCCTGGTTCGTTTGCTGAACACTGCCGGAAAGATACTTTGATGGAGCTGTGCAGTATTGGTTTTGGTCACGATCGGTTGATCGCTAAGAATGGCCATTGGATCTCAAAAATCACCTAGAAGTCCTGAAGAAGATCGTCTGCTAGAACCTGTCTGAACTTACAGCTAACATTAAAATCTACGGTATTTAACTTGATGACCTTCGGGCTAATATTCCATTTCCGGAAGTCGCGCAGGTCGTAAATAGGACTTCTACGAAGGTTCACAGTACCATAAAAGATACGCGAAAACCTTGGGACCCCATGTCAGTTCAAAACCGCTAACCAATCACGCAATTCCCCTTTCTCTCGCCCCACAGGCTTGCAAGGATCCGATCGACTTGGAAATCGAAGACCTCAACGGGCAAACGGCGCTGAACATTGCCGCCCGCAACGGTCACATCGAAATCGTCAAGCTGCTGCTGTACTACAAGCAGCCGCTGAACGACGGCACCGGACGGTTCCGCAAGATCGACGTCAACCACGCGGACCGGGACGGGTGGACACCGCTCCGGTCGGCTTCCTGGGGAGGCCACACGGATGTGGTGAAACTGCTGATCGAAAGCGGTGCCTGTGCCATAGACCGCGCGGATAAGGAAGGCCGAACGGCACTGCGGGCGGCTGCCTGGAGTGGAAACGAGGACATCGTCAAGATTCTGATCGAAGCCGGAGCGAACGTGAACTCGATCGATAAGCAGGGTCGGACCTCGCTGATTGCGGCTTCCTACATGGGACACTACGATATCGTGGAGATCTTGTTGGAGAACGGAGCGGATGTGAACCATACGGATTTGGACGGAAGGAATGCCCTCTGTGTGGCGGCTTTGTGCGGAAGTTCCGGGTACAGCAAGGTGATCTCGACGCTGCTGGAGTACGGAGCGAATACGGATCAGACGGATAACGAGGGGATGTCTCCGTTGTTGGTGAGTTCGTTCGAAGGCAATTCGGAGATTTGTGAGTTGCTGCTGGAGAATGGAGCAGATCCGGATATGGCGGATCATATGGGTAGAACGCCACTGTGGGCGGCTTGTACTTCGGGGCACGCTAACGTTGTGAAGCTGTTGCTATTCTGGGGCTGTGGAATCGACTGTATGGACTCGGAAGGCCGTACGGTTCTTAGCGTGGCAGCAGCACAGGGTAATCTGGAAACGGTAAGGCAGCTATTGGATCGGGGACTGGACGAGACACATCGGGACAATGCTGGCTGGACACCGTTACACTACGCGGCTTTCGAAGGATACGCGGACATTTGTATTCAACTGTTGGAATCGGGAGCCAAGATCGACGAATGTGACAACGAAGGTAAGGCAGCTTTGCACCTGGCGGCTCAGGAAGGACACAACTCCGTGCTGGAGGCAATACTGAACATTCATCGGCCTTGTATCGATCAACGAGCTCACGACGGAAAGACGGCCTTCCGGTTGGCTTGCCTGGAGGGGCACTTCGAGTGCGTTCAGACGTTGTTAAAGTTTGGATGCGATGTCAACTCCAAGGATGCCGACTCCCGCACGACGCTGTACATTCTGGCGCTAGAGAATAAGCTAAAGGTGGTGAAGTTCCTTCTGGAGTACTCGAACGTAGACGTTAACATTCCGGACAGCGAAGGGCGGACGGCGCTGCACGTGGCATCGTGGCAAGGCCATGCCGAGATGGTGAAATTGTTGATCACGTTAGGTAAGATCGGTGCATATCTTTTTTAGAGAAAGGATCAGCCTTATTCATGTGTGCTAATTTCAGGTAACGCCGACGTCAACGCAATGGATCTCGAATCGCGAACACCGCTGCATTCCTGCGCTTGGCAGGGCAATCATGAGGTGATGCAGCTGCTGCTGTACTACGGAGCCATTCCGGATCATGCCTGCAAGCAGGGTGCCACCGCACTGGGCATCTCCGCCCAGGAAGGACACGAGAAGTGTGTCACCTATTTGCTCAAATACGGCGCGAATCCTTACAAATCGGACCACTGCGGTCGAACGCCAATAAAGCTGGCAGCGAAATCGAATCGAAACAACGTTCTTAGGATACTGGAGAATTATACCAAAAGTAGGTTGCCTCTGACTCAAGTTTGATAAACCCCTTTTTCTATGAAATATTTGCTCCATTTCAGACGACCTCGACGGCGGCAAGATGGGGCAGCAGCACCAGAGTTTGAACTTCAAATCGCCGGATGAGCTGCCACCGTCGTCCTCGATACACAACCCGTCGCCTTCGGGTCCCTTCCCGAATCCGAACCTGCTGATACCGAGCAACAGTAACAGCAACAACAATAATAATAACAACAACAACAACAACAACTCGCCGTCCCTGAATGCAACGACGAGCTCGACGCAGAATAGTAACTTCTACGAAAATACGATGCATTCGGACAACAGTAGCCTGCACAAGCGAAAAAGTGTCATCTCTAGTCAGTCGACCGGTAGCAGTAACGAGGTAAGGTGGGGTTGCCGGGAATTGAAAATCATTGCCCGCTCAAAAAGGGTGTAAGGGTTTCAAAGATCGTCAGTCATTGAATAGTAACAGAAGCGGATTCGTAATTTCGGAGATATGGCTGAAATATGTTAAGTTTTCTGTTAACCACGGATGAAGTCTCTTTTGAAGCATCATCTAAATCTTGGGAATATTTCAAATTTCTTCAAGCATATTTGCAAACCTAAAAAATCCTGTTTTCGTCAGGTACTACTCAACGTTTCTTGGGAAATTCTTGAGTGCTATTGCAGTTAGCTAGTAAAATATTGCCCTGTAAATTAAAAGACAATTGCCACCGTTTTTTTTCTTTTTTTTTTGTAAAATATTGTTTATTTAGGTCTTAAATAACATATTCAAGATAGGTATTTAAAAAACATATCAATCTTCTAGAGTCAAAATGAAATCTAGCTCGCCTACATCTATTCTATTATTAATATTCACATTGACAAAGTTGATGTACTTAATGAACGTTTTTAAAATTTGATTTCTTCTCGCTGTTGTCATGTTACCCAAGATTGGCCGTACAAGATCGTCGAAGCTCAGCCTCTGCCAGCCGCCGAGTGTCGTCGTCAATTTTCGCTGGATGTGTGCCCAAGCTGCAGCAACTCGAGGGCATTCGCAAAACTTATGTTGCAAAGTCTCGATTCCTACCGCACAGTGCTGACAGTTTTGGTCGTTTGCACGGCCGATGACGTTCATCAGTCTACGGTGCTCGCGTCTTCTCGTTCACTAGCAGGTAGAGATCAGTACGCTGGCTCGACGATAGCCTTCTCGATGATATGTTCATCCAGATCTTTTTCCAATTGATGTCTGGATGATTTCGTTCCACTCTGGGTAGCTCAGTGTGTTCCAAGTAGAAACGATGGATTTGATCGCTGGAGGGGTTTTGTTGGATGTGGTGTGGAAATAAGGGAATTTGCTGTGAGAGAAGTTTTAGGCAAGGAAGATCGGCGGGGGGAGGAATATTTTGGGCTAGAAGGGACTGATAATAGGGAAGGGAAACGATCTCCTGCAGGTGACGATTGACTAGAAGTGCTTTGCATTTGATCGCCGGCAGTTGCAGTTTCAATCCACCCTGCTCTCTGCTGCGCGCCAACTGCTGCATTGGGACTCGTGCGGGTAGCCCACGAAAAAGGAAAGTCCCCATCGTTGATGTCAACTTCGCCGTGTGAGCACATTGCGGTGGAATAACAGACGAGAGCTACCACACCTTCGCTGTAATGAAGATGTTCAGCAGTAGCACTTTCTGCTGCAGGGAAAGGGAGCGCATGTTATGCAACCATATGAGTTGCGAGATCCTCGATACTAAAGCGTCCCAGTTTAGTTTAACCATCAGCCGCACTGAGTTGGTGAAAATAACGCCCAGTACCTTGACATTCTCCTTTGTCTGCAGCCCTGGTATCGTCAGTGGATCTTCATTGATAAAACCAACATCGATCGCCACTGTTTTCAGTCGATTTAGCTTTGCCCCGGATACGATTTCGAAGCTACCAAACAGCTGATAAATACGGTCGATCGTGTGTTTTGAGGTGGCAATCACCGTGATGTTATCAGCATACGCAACACAAAGGTCACCAGCGCATACACGCTCCACCCGTGTGAGGAGGGGATGAAGAAAGAGCACGAACAGCAGCATCGACATCGGTTCTCCCTGACGTACGGACCGTTCTATATGGAACGGCTCTGAGAGGCACCCATTCACTAGCAGCCGTGATGAAGAGGCAGCAGCGACTCGAGAGAGCCAACAGACGAAACCCTGGTCGAAGCCCAGAGAGAGCAAGGTCCGATGCAGGAACTCATGAGAGACCCGATCGAACGCGTGGTCAAGATCGAACGAGATCAACTTCCCATTCTGCTTCCTCGCGATTAGCTGCGCAATACGATCTTTGAGCGAGAGTGTAGCTTGGAAAATAGAACGGTCGGTATTTGCGCATTTTTGAGAGGCGCTCAGGACTCGATGGATCCGCAGTACTCGTTCCAGGCGGGCCTTCATCACGCGGGAGAGGATTTTAAAATCGACGTTGAGCAGGCTGATCGGACGATATGCTCTTGCTGTCCCATCCCCACCTCGCTTTTTAACCAACACAATAGTGCCATCGGCGAATTCAGATGGGAGCTCATTCGTCATAGCTTCATTAATAACGAAGTAGAGCTCTCGATAGATGACGTCGAAAGTTCTTAGGTAGAACTCTACCGGCAAACCATCGATCCCCGGTGATTTACGTTTTTGCGACGTTCGGATGTAGTTTTTCAACTCGTCAATGCTGATCTCTGCCATTAGAGCTGTGTTGGCTTCGTCGTTCTCGGGTACGGCTCTCTCAGTTTCGAACATTTCTTCCCCCACCTGCCTCGTCTCTTCCGCCGCATACAGGTCCCTGAAGTATCGAAACATGTGTTGCTCGATCTCCAGAGAGCCTTGTATTTGCTCTCCTCGTTCGGTCTGCAGTCCTGTTATGGTTGTTTTTTACGTCGTCTATCACCCAACTGGAAAGTGGATATGCTCTCGCCGGCTATAAACGTCTCGTTGATGCGGATGAAGTTTTGCGCAAATTGCCGCTGCAACGTGAGCATTTGTGCTTTTACGCGGTTGATGGTCACCAGCATGGTGGGATTCTGGTAATAGCCATCATATGCGAGTCGTAATTGCTCGTAGAGTCGTTGTTGTTCTGCGTTGAAAGTCCTGAAAACTTCACTTGACTTCCATCGGAAAAAAAGATTTTATTTTTGGCTTCGCGCATGAGAGCCACCATGTCATCCAGCTGGGGAAATTTCTCCGTTGGCGGGTCCAAAACTGCCATCGCACTTGGAATTCCTATAAGTTCTCGGCGGTTAAGAGGTGAGGGCGGAAGGACCAGTAACCGCGTCCTTGTTCGCGTCCAAGGTGGGGAAGGCAAATGCGCGCTGTTAGCGCTTTGTGATCCGTGAATAAGCATACGTGCGTAGCAGCACTCCGCAGATGCTCGCAAAGCCCATCGCTGACATACATGCGGTCGAGCCTGGATGTCGCATTGTGTGTGATGTACGTGGGTGCGGGGGTTGTGGGGTACAATTTCAGCCACAGATCGTGAAACTGTAGCTGCCGTACGGTCGCTTGGAGAGCCGGGCTTGTGTTGGAACTCGTTGAGTCGCTCGGACGTAGCACGCAGTTAAAATCTCCAGCGAGGATGACGTTTTGAGTGTTGTACCGAAGGTAGTACGCGATCGTGCCGTTGAAAAATCTTTCTCTTTCCGCACGAACAACTGTCCCCGATGGCGCATATACGTTGCAGAGCGTCGTGTTTTGCACCCTCAAAGCGATGAGACGACCATCCAGGCTCTTCTACACATGCGAGAATTGTATGTGGTCTTTCAGCGCGATTGCCGTTCCCCGCCTTGCTTGGTCCACATTGCAGATAACGTTGAAGCCAGGGATAGAGAGTTGCTCATTCTCCACCTCCTGGAGGAAAACGATATCCAGTTCCAGTGTTCGTACAAAGGTTCGAAGAGCGTCAATCTTCGTTGCATTCGTAATATTGTTGATGTTGATGGTGGCGAGGTTGTAACTGGAGACCTCAGCCATTAGGACGGTTGGTTACTCCCATCTCGCTTGTCGTCGCAGTCGTCATCCACGCGAGACTTCTTGCCTGGTGGTCGAGTGCGGAGGTGTCTTCTGGAGCTGGATGACCCTACAGACGAATCTGTTTCGTTTCCATCGGACTTACCACTAGCAGTTTTGCGATCCACTCCGCCGCTAGCGGGGGGTTGTTGACTTGTATAGGGAGTCAACGACCCGCTGTCCGATGGGGGAATCGAAGCCGAGGTAGGGGCTAACGTGGGGAAATTCTGTTCGGTCAGAACTGGTGGTAACAGCTTCTGTTGTTGACGTTGGGGAATTTGTTTCGGTGGTGGCATGGTAACAGCTTTGGCCGAGATTGGTTCGAACCGAGGCCGGGAAGCTTGGTTCGAGGTCGTTTTAGTTAGGTTCGCAATGGGAGCGGCTTGGTTTGAGTTTGTGTTGGTTTGGTTCGCACTATAGTCGACTGGACTCGTTTTTTGCGACGGCGTCTGCTTTGCGGCATCGGCGTATGATTTTTGCACGAGCAGTTTTTTATTTTGCACGCAAGTAGCCCCGATGTGCATGTATTCGCGGCAGTGTCGGCATGTTTGTAGCTGCCCGAAATACGATACATTCGTCACTTCGCCGTCGATCGTGACCCACGACTCGATGTTTCGTTTCACCGTCATTTTTGCTACACGAACGCCGGTCGAAATGTCAGGGAAATCGATATCGGTTCCGCATCGTTGTTCTCGTATTGCGATTACGTCACCGTATCTTCCTAGAAAATCAGTGATTTTTTGATCCGACACGTCCTCGGATAAATCGTAGAGCCTCACCTCCACTGCTCCCTCCTCCAGTGTGATTTTCAACGGATATTTTTTCCCGTCGACTGTAATTTCGTGTTTGTTGTCGTGTTCCTCACAGATTCGTTGCGCCAACGCTAGGTCGACGACTTTCACGAAAGAAACTCCGAGGGTTCTGCTGTTCTGAATCCGTAGCACTTCACCTTGCTTCAGACCCAATATGGTCGCACAGAATTTGTGAACTTTGGCATTGTCCGGTTTCTTCGGCACGTTCGCAAAATCTATGCGAAAGGTGTTTTCTCGACGGCCCATCGCGAAGTCGTTTGGACGCGCAGCGACACGTAACGGCTCAGCGATGCGCAGAAAGAGAAAAAAAAAAAACACAGTTGGCACTGGTAATTAGCTTGTGTTCGACTTCCACAGAACTGTAGCAAAAATACATCTGTTCAGCTCGGAAGTTGAGCGCTCACTACCGTTTTCAACCAGAGGTTGTACAGACCAGTAAGGAAATTAACGCCTTGCGAAAAGCTCCACCTGCTGGAGCTGGGATTGAACCCTCACTTCGTGGCACTCACAGTCTTGTGACGCCTGAACGAGCAAACCGCACGACCACGACCACGAAA